AAATCATGCATTCATTCATTTTAACGGGATGTCAATATCACCATAACATCATGTTTATTAGTTTATAGTAAAATTAAATATCTAATATTATTATATTACTAATGTTAAGGCTTTTATTTTTAAAACTAAGCTATACCTGTTAATAAGAGAGTAAAACAATTTCTTTCTGATTAATGTGTAATTCCAACAAATATGCACACATTCGGTTTATAATTAGAGCATTATACGTATATATCAATAGGTTTATATTATATGTATATTTAAAATTAATCCAGTGCTTAACTGAACTCACTAAAAGAAATATAATGGGGCCATACCTTTTTAATATTGAACATTTTTAGAGAATCGTCTATCTCGCACAGTCAGAAGTTTGCAGTTTGAAATGTCAATTGACAAGCAAAATTCAAAATTTGTTTCCATGGCCATCTCATAAGCAATAAGCGTGTCACGACACATTTTATATTATTTAAACTAAATTTAACTTTGTGTAAGTTTACAAAAGTGTCAGTCTTATGGACACTGTCAAGAAAAAAGGAGTTTTCTTTTGAGGAAATTTAATAAAAATATAAAGTAATAACCATAAATATAATATCATAAATCAAAATTCATAAAAAAATAACAATCTGACAGGGGTAGAGAACTGTGTGATTTCCGAATAATAATGGTTTTAAATGGTTATGAAAGTTTGCAATCATTTTTTTTATAACTATTTATCATATTCTGTAGTTTTACATAAATATATCTAAACAAAAAACAAAATACCACTTATCAATCGAAGTTATGTGTATATATTATTATAACTATATTAATCTTCGTTAAAAAACTAAAACCCTTGTCAGATATTCTATAGCAATTCACCAGTTATAAATTAGAGCACAGTCAAGTAGTGGTAAAAGTAATTATATAACTTACTAGGCTGTATTTATTTAAGAACACATGGCAGAAAGTATATAATAATACATATTCACATCATATTTTTGTCTCCTTATCAATGGCTTCCGCCTATAATCTGTCGGACGAAAGAATATATTACATTACTAAACTTTCTGTCATTTTCGACTATCAAAATCATATATTCTTAAGTCAAACATATACAAAGTGCAAATTTACGAACTACTACTATTTTATTTTTATTTCCTTACTTTCTTAAAGCTTCATAACTTACCTCTGATATTTTTTCGGCACAATCCTCAGTTGTGCGATTCTCATTTTTATTATTATACGACAACTTGTGTTTTTCCAACAAATTCATTAATTCTGGCCCAAAAAGATCATTATAGAATTCTAAGAAACTGTTTTGAAGTAAATTAGCTTCATCTTTCGAATCATTGCTAATAGTATTGTTTTTTGGTTCAATCACTTCTTTAATTACATAAGGTCTGTCATTATCGGGATCTTTGGTTTCCAAATTTTCACAATTAGTAGATGTAACTGTTTCTGAATTTTGATTTTGGATACTTTTATTAAGTTCGATTTTCTTATTCAGCTCTGATAATTTTGATTTTTTACTTAAGATTTTTTTCGAGTTTTGGTTATTTTCTTTGTTACATATTGATAATTTACTTCCAATTAGTATTTTTCGTTTCTTGTTAATATTTATTTTCTTGGGCGAATCTTCTCGTTGTAGAATACCTAACAAATAAAAAGTTTGCATGAATTTTATAATATAGATGTGTCATTTTGCTTGTAATTGGTTTTATATAAAGAATTAAAATTAGGTCCAGAAATTTTAAAAAAATATCCAGCAAAGATCAATAAAATCTGAAAAAAACAACTATATATTTATATCAAAAATATTACTTTCAATTTTGTTGGTATTGGAATCAGCTTCAAAGAAATTATTCTCTTTCAATTCTTGGAGGGCATTTTCAAGGCTATCGATGTTAATGTCATTCATATAATTTTTATCATCGTTCATTTCTTCAACTAATTTATCCACTTTGCTTTGTATGTTTATATCGCTCATTACAGCTTCATCACAAACAATCTTATCTTCTTTGTTTTCCTTATTCTGCTCATTACCTTTATTTTGAGAAACCTCTAAGATTTTATTTTCAATTTCGGATTTTTTAACACAATTATTTTCGACATTTTCTGCACTATTTCTTTTATTTTGCTGTATATCAATTTTGTTGTTAGTCCTGTTTGCTTTTACCTGAAATATTTATTAAATAAATTTTATGAAAGAGATGTAGATGAAAAAGTTAACATTACCGCCTTTTTAGTCGTTTTTGGTCTTTTTTTAACTTGTTTCATGTACATGTCTAGAACTGTTTGTTTAGATTTATTTGGACTTGGCTTGACTACTGAAGCTTTTTCAATTATTCGAAGTGTTTGGTTGCAATCAAAACCAACTAAAAAATAATACAAATATTAAAATTATAAAAACTAAGGATTATAGTATGCTATTTAGATTTAATTTTTGTGTTCAATTTTCAATTATCTTTATTATATATTAATGTTTTAAATGTAGAATATCGTTTTTTTTTCGATCTTAGTGTTTTACTATATTAAATAAAACTCATTTGTTTTTAACTCAATATTTCGATATAATTTATTTCTTCATCAGTAGAATTAAAACTAGAGTATTTTAATTCTCCTGATGAAGAAATATTGAGTTTAAAAACAAATGAGTTTTATTTAATATAGTAAAACACTAAGGGATCGAAAAAACCGATATTCTACATTTAAAACATTTATTAATCCACGATGGAGAATGTTTTTAATGAAATTTATCATATATTACATATTTATTTTTAAAAATTGGCGGCAGTTAAAAAACTAGTGCATTTAGAAATTGTTACGCAAAATTCCAACAATAAGTTATAAACCATTGAAAAAATAAGACTATAATAATAAGTCATCGAATACAATTTTTAATATTCATTGCAGTTTTAGTCGTAGTTGTTTGACAGTTGACACAATTTATTTTGATTTGAATTGCGGGTTTTAGAGCGAGTTAAGACTTCAGTCATTTTATTGTATTCCTTTTTTTATTATACAGGGTATCCCAATATTCCCTGGACATAGAGCGACTACGTATTTTTGGGATCAAAATAAGCTCATTGGACACAATTTACCTCTATACATATAAAAATTCTCCGTTTGTTCGTTAGAGGGCATCAAACTTTAAAACACATTTTTTAAGATATTTTAAGGACCGTTATTCCGATTTCAATGAGATTTGAGGTGTCCATGATTTGCTAAACGCTTTAAAATTTGACTTTCACAAAGATTAAGAAAAAGTACGGGGAACGTCAAAACGTAAATTTGAATTCCCATCCCTACATAAATTTGAAATAGAGTATAGTATACAGGATCCGGCAATAGTGCGTCGGGCATCCGTAGCTTCTAGAATAAAAAACTTGGGAATTTTGTTTAAGTGCAAACCTAAAGTATGTACTAGGATGTATTTCAGGAAAATATTTTAACTTCTATAAGGTGGCTCAAAAAAGCATGAGTGGATTGGGGTGATTTTTTTTAAATGGAACACACTGTATATTATTGTATTTTTGGCTTTCCTTCAGGTCGCTTTACATAATCCTAAGACATGAGTAATTATATTTCGATAATTTCTGAGATATTAATAAATAAACAAAAATTATATATTTTTAAGTATTTCTTAAAAAAATTATTAATAATACAAGAACTGCCCTGAAATCAAAACTATTTTAGATATTTACTTTAGATGGTCTGTACTTACTTTGCTATAAATATGGAAATCGTAAATCCTACAGGATGTTCAAAATTCTACGCCAAACTTTCTAAAATATAAAATAATTTTTCTTTGTTTTTGTTTAAATGGAACACCCTGTATATTGTGTTTTCAGTAGATGGAGAATTAAAAAATGAACATTTTTTGCATTTAGAGTATTTCAACATTTTTAACGGTTTCGCAGATATTCCCGGTTTTGTATTTCATATGGCATTTTCCACAGTAAATTTTTATCAAAGCCACCCAATGATTTTTCTCTCATATATCCTATTATATACACAAACCATTGTAAGCGCCATATGAAATAATACTGCGTGTATACGGAAAACTATTAAAAATTTTGAAATACTTTAAATACAAAAAATGTTCACTTTTTAATTCTACGTGTCATATAATTAAAAAAAAAAATATACATGGTGTTCCATTTAAGAAAAGATCAAAGAAAAAAATTAATTTATATTGTTGAATGTTTTGGCGTGAAATATTTATATATTATCATGTCCATATTTACGAGTGTGACCATCATTTATAGCAAGTAACAAAACAGACCAGTTGAAAGTGAAATATTCTAAATAGTTTTTTTTTTTTTTTTTTTTTTTGTATTTTAATATTATATAAAGGTTGAAAAAAAATATATAGTTTTTTGCATTTATTTTTTAATATCTCTGTATATAACTATCGAAATATGATTTACGTTCAATATCTTAGGATTATATAAAATGCAATCGAAAGGAAGCCAAAAATGCAATAATATACAGCGGTGTTCCATTTAAAAGAAATCATCCAGATCCAACTTCACACTTTTTTGAGGCCACCCTATAGAAGTTCAAATATTTACTTCAGAAAAATACATCCTAGACACGCTACATACTAGGTCTGCCACTTTAAACAAAATTTGCTCAAGTTTTTGTTCTAGGAGCTACAGATGCCCTGACGCACGTATTTGCCGGACGCCCTGTATCAGAGGAGGTAACTTACTACCTTGATAAGGAATAATTACAGATACGTTGTATTTTACTTATTTGTTCAGTGGCGTAGGTGTATTTTTTTTATTAAAGTTAATTAATTAAATTATTTTTGTTTTATTAGAAATATATTTTTACAATTTATAATAACACATTTAATAAGTAAACCGGGAAATTAGTGAGTCTAACCTTCCTTATGAATTTTAATACGGGTTTTAAGAAGAATTAGAACGGCACTAATAAACTGGAATATTCAAGGTCAGCCATTATTAAAGTAGCCTTTCGACCGTTCGCACGCGCTAATATTGCTGATATGATCCTCTCTTATCATTTTTATTCAATGTTTTTTTTTTTTTTTTTTTATTTATAAAAAATATAATACAATTCAAATTACCCAGTCATCACTTATAAAACTAGCAGTTACACTTTCCAAGTCGTTAATCAATTTTTGACAATTTTTGTTATTGTAGGCGAATCCAACATGTAAGATTGTCTAAAAATAGAAACAAGTGTATTATTTCATAGCAGTATTACCATATAGAGACACATCGATAATCTAAATGACTTGAGGTTCAGGCAGAAAATAACTTACGAATACTTTTCGTAGATAATCAAGTTATTGTCACTATCTCCGACCAGTAACGTCATAGTTGAGTATAAATCAACAGTACACTTGGCTTGAATTTCTTGTAAATTCACTAAATTTATCTCGATAAACACGACATCGTCTCTTTTTTCCACTTTCATCTCATACTGAGGTAGACCCTTAGCTTGTTCCACTATGTTATTTCCAAATGGTGGTTTTCTGCCAATATGGCTTAATAAAATAAAAACATCGAGAAAAACAGAATATTATAATAGTGTATATTGGTAGTTCTAAAGTTGTCGGGAACATCCTATATATGTTTAGTGTTTCTTACCATTTCAATTACTCTTGGATTAGTATCTATAATTTTCCTTTGAACGAAGTTAGTCCAGCTCTTGCCATTGTTTGTGAGAAAACTTGGCCGACACCAGTCAATTGTTTACAGACATAAACAGAATTTTCCCATAATTTTGCCTTAAAACATTTTGCAAGTATAATAGCATTTAATTAAAGCACTGGTAACTGTTAGGCCGTGTTTCTAGATATTACAATCAAACACCTAATAAATCGTATTATTAGAAACAATAATTCTAGATTACTAATAATTCAGAAACATTGAAATGACAGAAAAAGATATAATTAACTAAAAAAAATTTTTTTTTTTTATGTATTTTTTATAAATACAATATAATACATAAGATTTTATATAACGAACAAAAAAAAAAAATTATTAATTAAAATTTTTAGTTTCTGTGATTCTGTATTGCCTCTAGCGTACATCTAGCTAGCGACAACTGGGGCTGGGGCATGAAGAAGTAAGAAGATCAGTATCGGTTGACGTGCTTGTACTTTTTGAAAACATATTATTAAAAACATACATATTTGTTTATATCAAAGCTTGATTGTTTTTGAGGGCGTACGTCCTCATCTTCAACGTCTTAAGACAAGTAAAGTAATTCCATCGACCAGCACCATAAATATTGACCAAGTCATTATTCCTTAAGTTATTACGCTATTTCTGATAGATTCTAATAAACCTTTGTTATATTATACCACACGGGTAGTAGTTATTATACCACACATTGTTAGTATTAATTAATTAATTTATAAATAAATTTAAAACATTTTTAAAAAAATATTTTATTTTGCTTCTACCTTTGCTTTACTACGAATTTTATAAAAAATATATTATCTTTCACTATGGTACTAACAAGGTGGAGATCGGGTGTATTTATTTCAAATTTTAAATAAAAAATATATAAAGGAAAAAAATAATAATACAAGAATGTGAGAATACGCGCTTTTTATTCTCTTCCGATAGGGTTACCAAATGAAAACTTGTCCACCCCGGGCAAGCTTCCCAAATATCCGGACAAAATCCAGACGTCATTTATTAGGAGTAAAAATGATACTTTTTCTGGTGAGGCTCTACGTTCGTCATACAGGCGAGGTACAAAAATCATTTTTACTCCAAATAGAACATGCTATTTTTTCTTCAAACGCCACAAATAATTTTTTAAATATTTTATACGTTCCAAATAATACAAAAAGATTTAAAAGGAACACCTAGTAAATGTATAGAAGTAAGAATCGAGAAACTGTGATAGACGAAACTAATACGCTCGTTGAATTTGACCTTTTGTCAGTTTAATAAAATATTTTCGTACTTTTGTGCTTAGGAGTGCTTTACTTTTAGCCTAGGCTTTAAAAGCATGGCCGTATAAAAAAAATTAAAAAAAAAAATAATAATAAAATATTTATAACTTTCAGAACTTATAGTCTAAGAGCTAGCAACGTTTTCGAGAAAGTATTTTAAGACGTCTGGGTCACAGTCTGGGTCTTTGATATATATTTACTATGCTCTATGGAACAGCATGCGGCCCGTCTGGCTGCCGATACCCGTTGCATTCAGTACTGCGCATCGGAAGAAGATCCTATATTTTTTATTAATTTAGTCCTATAAATTCTAGTATTGAATATAAATCAAACATGTCTCCATAGCGCAGTGCGTAGAGTTTCCGACTACGAACCGATGATTCAGAGTTCGAATCCGGGTCAACGCAACGACTTTTTTTTATTTTATTTTTGTTTATATTCTGATAGTAAAGTATTAAATAATTCTGGTGATTCAAAAAAAAACGAATATTTAATACTTTACTACCAAAATATAAACAAAAATAAAATAAAAAAGTCTTTGCCCTGACCCGGATTCGAACTCTGAATCATCGGTTCGTGGTCGGAAACTCTACGCACTGCGCTATGGAGATATGTTCGATTCATATTCAATACTAGAATTTAAAGGACTAATAAAAATATAGGATCTTCTTTCAATGCGCAGTAGGGAACGCAACGTTTACCGGTAGCCAGACGGGCTGCATGCTGTTCTAGAGAGCATAGTAAAAGATACATCAAAGAGCCAGACGTCTTAAAATACTTGTTTTTCCGACGTTGCTAGCTCTCGTACAAAGTAAAACAATGAATTAAAACAATTTAATTTTAAAACAATAAATTTACACTGCTGAATTTATCGGCGATTTTTTAAGTAACTAAATTTATTACTAATACTCTATTAACTCTATTAACTAATATATTATTTTGCATTATTGTCACATTTCTTAATGGAACATTAAAATCCGGACGCTTATGAAAAATCCGCCCGGCAACCGGATGTAGTGAAAATCCGAACTTCAGAAGAAATATTGATTGATTTAAGGGATTTTCTCTTACTACAGAAACTACTTACATTTTGATAAACGTTCACAGCATCGCATAATTCTGGATGAATCGTTCAGAATTGACTGATCATGTATCTCTAGATTTCCTAACATGGCCTGAATGATACTTGATTAAAAATTTAAAAAATATATAAATAATAGGTTCAATAATTTTCATTAATTTATTTTATACCAATTAACTTTCATATCGCTAGATGTGACTTTACCACTTAGAGGAAATCTAATGGTTTCTTTGGTAGAGTGTTTATTAAGTAAATTGAGACATTTTTTATCATTAGTCCTCAATCGTATATCGGAAAATTCGCTACATTTTGAAAATATTCCTAATAACTGTATCATAATTTCAGTTCCTGTAATCTACAATCAAAATATATGAAAAATTATTAATTTATGTTAATTTTGGTCTAGTATGTATTTTATTGTTACTTTTGTAAATAATTTCATGGTCTCGAATGCCACGTAGTATTTAGCCATAATTTCTCCAATTACTGTCGGCGATATTTCGATACATTGGTTTATGTTAACCATTCCAGCGCCAACTAGCTTATTTAAATCAATTTGGCATATTTCTAGAAAATAAAACTTTAATATAAATAACGCTAAAAGTTTTAACATTTTATGATATATTTGTTGACATTACTAAAATATTTTATCACAAAAACTGATCGATCTTTTCGTAACAAATACAGTAAGTTAGGCAAGGATGTGTCTTAGCGCCTCTCCTATTCAACATATTCATGGCACCGCTCTCTATTATAGTGGACAGCAATTCAAATAATTTTATTTAAAAAAATATAAAAAAATATAAAAAAAATAAAATAGTAATTTATTTGTATTTTCGAAAATATATTTCAACAAAATGACATATCAATATACCCAGTAGTTTTTTGTCAATTTTCTCTTGGGTCAGTCCAACAGGTAGCTTGTATTTCTCAGGACATTTTTTAGCTCGGACATACAAAAATGTGGACGACAACCATCTCATAGCCACTTCCAAGTCAGTTATAGTATTTAAGACAATTTCAGCATTCAAGTGTTCAGTGAGATGTTTATGAAGGTTGGATTCTATTGGCTGAGTACATGCCACCATATTTTCATACTTTGCCTGTGAACGTAACCAAAAAGAAAAATATTAAAATATTTCTATGTTCTTATAGACAATTTATAGCTAAAACCTTGTCTTGGGCGGTAGTTAAAATCAAAGCAGTGGCACAAGTGTCAAACTGAGATCGCCCTGCTCTACCAATCATCTGAAAGATGGACACTTCGTCGTAGTCTTTATAACCGCCGCTGTAATCGTAACATTTCGTGGATTTTATTATTACTAAATGGGCGGGTAAATTTACACCCATAGCCAGGGTGCTTGTAGTAACCTATGGAAAGAAAAAGAAATATAAAGGTGCATAAATTAGTAATGAGCATAAACGAGCGCACAAATTCTAATAATTTCAAGGGATCAGAAAATAATTGTGCATGATTATAACTTTCTTGGCTATCATCCGTAATTAAACTAACCATCAATTCGAAGTTGGTCAAATAATGCCTAAAACAAATTAGGCAAAGAAAATAAAGTCCTCCTACTACCAGCTCACCAAGGGATAAAAGGCAATCAAAACCAAACGATATCTAGCTAGAAAACGAGCGAACACTCCACTAACTGGACCAGAACCGTTCTTCTTTCCAAGCGGAAACTAACTTAAAGCGGAACTGAAGAACCTGGAAGACTCCATCCGTAACCTGGAATGGAAATTCTTCAACGGTCCAAGACACTCGAAACAGTTCGAAAAAAAAATGGTGATGATGTCATATCTCAATCTTGGAACAAGATCTATCAAAATTTTTCTTACCGTCAAAGAACATCAAGAACACAATTTAAAACACTACGATGATATTTTCAAAAAAAATTATATCATTGATACACTGAATTTGTTTCAAATTGGAGAATCACCCTGTATGTTTTACCCTTTTATACTCAGAGATATTACCCTTGAACAAGAGTATTTCTAAAAGAAAAGAACAAATAAATACATCAAAATAGAGAACAAGATTTATAAAATAAATGAAACTTGAAACCAATGTTTCTCAAAAATTAATGTAGCAAAAGTAAAAGATATCAGATACAACACAAATATATAAAACAAATTATTCGTTAGGTTTGCGTATGAAATTTTCTATTTAAATAATAGTCCTTGTTAAGTTCTGTTTAATTTTTTTAAGAAACTGAAACATTTTTAACCGATTTTTTATTATTTATTTGACATAAAGAATTACAAATTTCTGAAAAAAAAAGAAAGCTTAAGGTTGATTCTCACTATACCTTCCGTTTCTCTTCCGTTTATATAAAATATTATATCACGTAAATGAATAGGACAATGCACACTATCCGTTCCGTTTCCCTTCCGTTTCATATCCTTTCCTTTCATACATTTTTTTGGCCGACGGACTTAAGCGTATCGGAAACAGCGTTGTCAAGTTCTTACCTTTTTACCAGCTCTGTTAACATTTTGCTGATAATTATTTATTCTTTCACCTCTTAATTAAATCTATTACATTTGTCCAAAGATACAAATTTTTAAAATTAAACTTTCGTAATGTTATAAATTGTACAATAAAAAGTATAGAACTGAGACGGAAAGGAAGCATACTAGAAGTCTCTGCCTATGCCGCTCCAGTTGTATCAGCTTACTCAGCTTATTCAGCTCCAGTAGTATCTGCTTATTCTGCTCCTCTGGTCTCTGGTGTAGACACTGTTGTTTCTGGACCATCTGGTAGCATTGTTGCTGGTAGAAGTTTTGCTGCTCCCGCTTGGTAATGAGGACAAGGCGCTGTGATGAAATTTGATTTATAAACCGAAGAATTATAAGCATAATTTTGAATAAATATAAAAAATAAAGAGATATTTATCGTACAATATTTTTTCTCTTTTAGTCTATTACTATATAATATAAAATACATATATTATACAAAATCCGAATTTTTATTTACTATAACCATGTAAGGCCGCATTCCGTTTCTTACCTTGGATATGGTTTTCTGTTTCGTTTATATGTTTTTTCCTGAAATGTTTATTATTACGAAACACGGTTACTGAAAAATATCTGACAATATTATGTCATTGACAGTCATTAAGAGAATCACAATATCTAGATCGGTGATTCTCTGCACATCATTGTTTCACAACGAGATCAATCGATTAAAAATATTTTCAATATGGCGGCACTTCCGGAAATACCGGAAGTTGACAGCAACTTTCTTATTTTAAATGGGTAACCCCATTTTTTATTGCATACTTAAATTTTCCGTAAAATTTTATGAATTTTGATATTAAGAAATTATAGAAGAAATCTCATTCAACATCGCTTTTGTTCTTGCTTCAACCGAATCTGTAAATTATCGACCAGGTGTTTGGCCGTCATTTCAACACTTTTCCTGGTACTGCAGAAAATCTGTAAGGAGAAAAATTCTAACGAAAATGGACATTTTTTATATTTCTGTATTACCGAAGTCGGTTGTCCTTCGGAGTATTTTGATATTAATCAAAAAATCCGGAACGGATATGGAATGGAAACCGAAGGTATAGTGAAAATCAACCTTTATTCGGTATAGCTGCTGCTTCTCTATAAAATTAAATATTTTTTTAAACTAAATTATAAAAAAAAATAGTCTACTTTTGATAAAAATGTGCTTGAGCATTTACATGAAAGTACACACAAAATAAGCAGTGGCGGCTCGTCAGGTGCAGTAGGTGAAGGGGCACTTCACCGAAAAAATACTCAAATTAAAGAAAAAACTTTACTGCTTAAAATATTAATTTAGTTTAATATATTTACATGTATCTAAATAATAAAATGGTAATTTTATTATTTAGATAATAAAATTATAATAACTTATAAAATTTTTTTTATAAGTTATTTATTTTTTTCCGGGCGGACCTCTGCATAATAGGTCCACCGCATCGTTAATTCCGGCCGAAAAAGTAGCATTATAGGCCCGCACGCGCCTACAAGCCAAAAGCAAAGCCACAAGTGCAAGTGAAAATGTTGAATTTCTCAGCCAAGCGGCTGCACGGTTTCCATGGTAACGTGACGGCAGCCTAGCAGCAGATGTAAATCCTCCGCCCCGAAATTTATTATCGGTGACCGATGTGAATGAGTTTTTGGGCAGTTCTCTTCGTCTTCCTCCTACTTAATTGTTCAGGAAATGTGTATTTGTAACGGCGAGCGGCGTTCGGTGTTAGCGCATAATTTATGCATTTATGCTAATATTCGGCTACTTCGGCGAGTAATTAATCGTGTAAACACTGTAAAGTTGTTGTTTATTATTTATTGTTGTAAGTTAATGGTTTTTGTTGATTTAACTTGTTAATTTTTGCTGTTTGTTTTGTTGTTGTGTTTTAAAACTGTTTTGTGTGTGTTGTATGTGTTAAAAAATAAGCCCAATTAATGACTTGGTGTGCAATTTGTTGGAAAACTCCCCTTCAGACGGTGGACAGATGAAGATAAGAGGGATATTTTTATCTCAAGGGCGACCAACTGAAACTTTAACCATCAATTGCAAAAAGAAAGAAGAAAAAGTAGTAAATCTTATAATATTAAATTTAAGTCTTCCTGGTTTTCTGATTTTAATTGGCTATGTAGTAGCATTGTTTTACAAAAAAATTTTTGTTGGTCGTGTTTACTATTTTCTAATAAACATGGCATTTGGAATAAAGAAGGGTTCACTGATTTCGTAAATATAACAAGATCTTTGCATAAACACGGGGATTCTGCAGAACATTTAAAATATCAGTTAATGCCTGCGAAGAAATTTAAAAAAAAATTAAAATAGCTGATGCTTTAGAAAAAAACTCTAGACTCTATAAGCTTAATTTTAATGAAAATGTTTATATATAAAATATATATTATATATATAATATATAATATGTATATATATATATATATATATATATATATATATATATATATATATATATATATATATATATATATATATATATATATATATATATATATATATAATATTATATATTATATATATAATATAATTAATTAATTAAATGACGATATTACTGATAAGTTTGCATCAATCAAGAACAGAAAAATTGGGCTTATTTACAAAAATTAGTAAGGTTAGTAATATAAATAAGTCAAATTTATTTTGATTAATATTGCTTAGTAAACATTAATGTAATAATTGAATGGCTCCTCGGTTGTAACCAACAATTTTTTCAATATCGAAATTTCAGTGAAAACACCGAGAAAAAAAACGTTATACCTATGAAAATTACAACCTTATTTCACTGAAATCTCTAATTTGAAAAAAATGTCGATACAATGTTTTTCGATGAAACCATTCAATAATTACAGATATCGCCATAAAGTTGGATCCATATGGACGGTTTTTTTTGGTATTAGAGTTTAAAAAAAACGTTTTGTGGCAATCAATTCTGCTTTAATAATAACTTAAAATACACCAAGTCAAAGTTGAAACATAATTTTGTTAGTCACCTTTTTTAAAATAATAATAATAATTTAACCAATTTTTAAAAATTTCTTTTAAATATTTTGTATTTGACAGCTCGCAGAGCTGTTTTCAAAGCAGAAGTGATTGCCACAAAAAGATTTTTTAAAACTCTAATATAAAAAAAAAACGTCCATATGAATCCAACTTTATGGTGGACACCGTATATAATGTTTATTATATTTAATTTAAATTTAATTATATTTTCGCTGGAATGCAAAATAATGTGTTTATCGAAAACTAAAAATATTATAGGTATTAGTGTATAAATAATAACAAAAAAAATAAAAAAAAAAAAAAAAAAAAAAAAAAAATACAAAATTTTTCAAATAATATTTTAAAAGAGTTTGACAAAAATTTGGCGAACTGCGCCAGAAAATGAATTCACAAATTAACTTCTTATAATTTTTTACCCACGACCCCACGTGGAAAATAAGTATGACCAAACTTACCAAAATAGGAATGTGTCCTTGTCTGAAAGCCTCTTCAATAGAGTACCGATTCTCACGCACCAAACCCGCATGATGAAACGCAATACCATTCATAACATATTGTTGCAATTTCACGTCAGTTAAACGCGAAGAAATCTCATTCAACATCGCTTTTTGTTCTTGCTTCAACCGAATCTGTAAATTATCGACCAGGTGTTTGGCCGTCATTTCAACACTTTTCCTGATGCAGAAAATCTATATGGGAGAAAATTCTAATACGAAAATGAGACATTTTCTTATATTGTTATAATTTTACCATAATATATTTAATATTTTTGATATTAAAATTTTGAAGCTTTACTTCAAAGACCAATCGAATTTGAAAACGGACTGGTCTTTGGGATGGAATGTAAATCCCATAAACAATTTGTTCAACTGTAACAGTCTTACGTCTCAAGAAAAGGTGCAGAGGATTAACATGTATGTTTGAAAAATCAATGCTAGTTATGAATTAGAATTCGAAATTCCTTTAGATAATATAAATAATATTTATAGGATATAGTTAACTAGTTGAAACCTTGGCGCATCCGCCACCACATCAGGAAAAAAAATATATTTATTTTTTTAATTAAATGAAAACAAAAGAATCCGGCGACGACAGTTTTAGAAGAGCCAATTAGCTAATCTTTTAGTAAAAAAAACAACTTTCTAGAGCAAGACGTTACTTCAGTAGAGACCACACAGATAAACCGATTTGGCATTTATATATGTAGATTTTGGTAGTAAGACCGCCTCTGACTAAGAAATTGTAATAAAATTATTAAAAATTATATTAAATCGAAATTATATTAATGAATATTAATGATTCACTTTATTATGTGAGAAAATATTATAATTCTGTCGAAACACGCTCTGTAATACAGTTAATAAAAACTGCCATAAGAACTTGTCAAATGTTAATAGTTAAATAAAAAAAAGTATTCTCATACCAAACGTCTCTCTAGACATTCTAATCGTTTACAAGCAAAGGTCACTGTTACATTGTTTTTTTTATTTTTGTGGTATTTATGACTTACTATTAATGTACTGATTCCAGCGAAGGTCCTATCCATTCTCCAATATCTTCTACATTAGGAATTGTAGCCGATACCGCTACAAAACGAATTTTTGCATTTGCCTTGATTTAAACCAAAATATCAATAGTTTTCTCGACTGACCTATAAAAATAATCAATAATTCATTAAAAAATGGCCCCCTCTAAAAAAGACCTAACAACTAAAGATTCGAACGAACAATTATTGAAACTTTACACAAAACTAATTATACATTAAAGTTTTTTTTTAAAAACTTTGAATAAAAACGGCGTCACGATGGCTAAAAATGAAAGCTCGCTGTCATTTCTATATGTAAAATTATATGGGAAATGTCATCGATCGTCATTTCATAGCCATCGCTGACGCGTTTTATTCGATCATACTGTAACACACAATATATTAAATGCCATTATAATATGTGTATTTAGAAACTCAGTGTAGTGTCGTATAGAACATTAAAATAAGCTGTAAGCCGATGAATAAACAGAGAAACAGATTGCACGATGCGCTGACAGACTAAATGTTCGGACACTCTAAGGAAATTACTATTTTTACATTTGGCTGTGAACGGTATCTATTCGCTCCTTTACGAACCACCTGCACTCCCTTGTCTAGCTTTTATTTTTATGCCGAATACGGTCCAGGTTCCAAGACACTTTTCCATTATCATCTCCTCAAATGGCAAAAGGTTCGTGATGCAGCTTAGCGCAATGTTTTGGTTCATGTTCATGTATGTCATGTTGCAACTGTCCCTATAACATGTCGGACATTTCGAAGACCATGAGAGGACCTTAATATGTTATTGCCTTTAAAACCATGTTTAGTTTTAGCCGTATTACATAAAATCTTGTTGAAATATAAAATTCATGCCCTGGTAAAGGCCCTTCGCATTTAATGTACAAAAACTATTCAAATTCTTGATTTTTTGGCACTAAAACATAATGCCTTAGGAAAATTCACTGTCCTTTTGAGGCAATTTTTATCAAATAGACACTCTAGCGGTGTTCGATTAAATTTATTACTCCGAAACTAAAGTTCAAAAAAAAAAAAAAACGTTTTATTATTGACATTTGAGAAATGCATCTTCATAAAAAAATTTAACTTAATTAAATAAAATGATTAATCTGTTTTATACGTTCCAAATCCCCATACCGTTTTAGAGAAAATAAAACAAACATGAAATTACTATAGTAGATGATTTTTTTCCCAAAAAGTAACATGTCCCTAAAAATTAAAAGGCGTTTGTATGGTAATTTAAATAACGTCATATTTTTCTTGTTTTAAAATGTTAAATAAGCACAACATTTATTTAGTTCAATGATACGGAAAGGGTGATAATAGTTATCGGAAAGAGTGATAGTTTATTAAACATCGGCCAAAAATATGACTAATCAAAATTAATAGGACGCACTATCAAAAAGAATGAAATCGAACATTGTATACCATAATCAACGCCTGTTGATTTTAGATTTAAGATAAGTCCAAAGCTTCGGTTTCAAAAATTCCGGACAAAATAGTGAAGGCGCTAGGTAACGGATTATCTCCCTACGATATTAGAAAATTAGGAAGCCTGGTAATCAAGTATCCAAAGATGTGTTGATAAAGGAGAAGAGGCAGAAATCGTACTAATTTAGTCAACATAAAAATTATACCGGTGATGCAATGACCAATCAATAACAAAAATCCGAGGAGAGCTTCCCCTGCCAAACTGAAGAAACTGCAAAAATGCTTTCGAGAAAGAACAAGAAGTGTCATCGAACCATCTAACAGCCCGTGGAGTAAAAAAGTAAAAAGACACCACAGGGATCTGTGCGATTACGAGCTTTTACCAAGGATAGCTTTCAATAATGTTACCAAGGATAGACGATAAGTTACGGGTGGTTATGGTCGACGTGTATCTTTTTCGGGCTAAAAAATCTTAGAAAAGTAGTAAATAAGGTTGAGCACGTTTTGAGTATTTCTTGTTCGTCAATTAGTAAAAGTAAATTTGTTAATTAAATTATTACTTTTATCCACATGGATACCGAGTCAAGAGAACATAACCCACTGATCCAATATTAATAATTAAGATAATGATAACTAATTTTTATAAATGAATATTAATTTATATAAGCTGGCTCATGTGCACATGTAATAGTGCATTCTAATTTGCCAATTGGTATCCTCTCCGCATCGGATATCTGAATTTTATACAGGGTGGTCGAACTTGTATTCCGGAACTTGGTGAATTTCGTAGATAAATAAGTTAAAAGAAGTTTCGTGTAATATATGTCTAAAGTCTGGTTTCGAGAGATACAGGTGTAGGAGGTTTCATTTTATCTATTTTTTTCATTATTTCTGAAGTACGTCAACTATTTGGATGAAAATGATGTTCTGGTTTTTTGACATGATAAATTTGATTTTTATTCAATTATGACTCTACTTGAAGGGGGCCCACTAACCATATTTAACTGGTTTGTAGAGTAATAACTTTCGTCCTTACTAGGTATAACACTACTAAGTAAAAATATACATTTACGGGCATCTTTTCTACTTAGAAAATGACTCCTTTGGGGTAAAAATCGGCTACGAGTAATGGTTCCAGAGATATTTATAAACAAAAAAAAAAAAAAAAAAATTCCAAATAAAATAATAAAATAATATTTTGTTTCCTTTAACATTCACAACGTAAATTTGAATGTTTGTCAAAAAGCTCACAGAAAGTGTTTTTATTTTGAACAAAAAAAAAAAAAAAAAAAATTAGATAATTAAAAAAGTAAAATTTCCCAAATTTATTATTTCAGTCAAAATAACTATCTACCCAACGTGTTTATTTTTTGTCACGATGGCATGTATTGACTATTTCCATTCTAAATATCATGAGAACGGTTGCTCGTAGCGTTTTTTGCCAAGAGATTATTTTTTACGTTAAAAGGTCACGAAATGTATATTTTTTCACTCAGTAGTTTTATACAGGTAACGTCGAAAAGACTTGTATCACTATTTCAAAAGAGTTAACACATGTAGGTGGCGCACCCTCTTTAAATAGGCAGTTATATTGACATCCAAATCAGATTTCTCATGCCAAATAACTCCCAGACACCAACTTTCATTCAATTGGCGTTACTTCAGAACTTATTTAGAAAAATATCGAATAATGACTTATACCCAGTATCTCGAATTACGGCATTCGGACATCATGTATTCGACCTTTTTTACTTATTTCATCTAGAGAATACGCTTGTCAAGTTTCCGAATACTAGTTCGGACCACCTGTTATATTGCACCATATGTCATTTTTGTGTTTTGTGAAAATCAGAATTCCAATCCAATCGCAAACTGCAAAGTGCAAAGATTAACATGTTGCAAGCAAGATGCGTGTATGAGCCTATGTCAAGAACTGAACTCAATGTTAAGGACAGTCCAGAATTTTCCTAGAGGCCATTATTGCTTTTACAGTGGGGTGTGTGCGGATTGATCTAAACAAATTGGGTCTAGAAAAGGTATGAGTGGCATGCACAATAATGATAACCAAAATATCAAGAATTAATTTTGAAAATAATCCTTGCCAAAAGTGCGAAGAGAGACTTTACCAGGACTATGATTATTTATATTTAACAGATGGTGCGTGCATGTCATAGAGGTAAAGAATACTAAAAAATGGGTCGTGGCATTAACACTCAAGTCCTCTCTGTAGTCTTTGAACAATCCGGAGCCTTAATGACCGAAACGTTGTGGCCATAACGAAACAAAAATGATCGTGACAACACCAACGAACCGATGCCCATTTGTTAACCGAGAATTTAGTGATTATGACAAACTAATTTTACCGAACCGCAGACAATCATTAATAAAAACAATGCCAGACAATTTTGCAGTGGTTGTAAAAGCTCATGCCGATGTAACGCCATATTAAACACAGTTGTTTTTAACTAAGTCCGAACATTTTAGTTGTCAGGATATTGTGCAATGTTTTTTGTATATTTATTCAATTTTAAAAAAAAAAAAAAAAAAAACAAACAAAAAATATACAGTTATAATCCTTGATTATTAATATATAAACAAGGGTTTAATATATTTTTAATGTAGTTCTAAATTTAATGATTTCTGTTTATAAAAAATTAAATTTTTCAATAAATTTTGTTTGTTCCCGAA